CCATGTTTTTCAAGGAAGCAAAATAGCAAAAATCTGTTAGAGTTACATCCCACTTGGAGTTTGTTGGGGAATATGGAAGAGAAATGGGAGATTGTTTAAAAGCAAATCTTGGACTGAAAGAATTATGGTTGATATAGGTAAAATGGTTATGGATTGGATGCTAGTTCTGTCAGATTTTGCTCAGACGAGTAGATAAGTGTTTGGAGACAGTTTTGGCTACTGTTGAAAATTCAATTGTTGTACCTTTGGATATTTATAATTAAGCTGTATCAAGGTGTTACCTTAACACCTTATTTCAGTTCTATTATTCCTATTGTTTATATTAACAAAAGTTTGTTTTACTATGAAAAAATTTCTGAAGATTGCAATTGATTCTAAAAAAAACTTGTTTTAATATGGAGCTCTTGTGTCTTACACAGTGAATTCATATTCTATTTGAACAATATTTTGATGGGAAAATCTATGATGCCAGAAAGACATGATACTGGAAAGACTTTGACCAATCAAAACCCCCAGTGAAAATTGATGAAATCCCACCTGATTGGTTACCACTTTTATGATGCCGGTTGATTGGGTTATAAATGTTTTTTTTGGTATCATGTCTTTTTGGCATCATAATCGAACTCTTTTTTGATAGGTTGGTTATTTTGTGTGATGTTCCATATTGGTGGATTACCTTTGAATTTCATCTTAAGTTTCTTCTTCAGTTTGCAATAAATTAGTTTGTTGGGGAATTTCATGGGTTTCAAGCAATTGACTATGTTTTATATCTTGTCAGTTTGTATATGTCCTCCATATAAATCTGAATGATCATAGAAGTACTAACAATTTTACCATCAGTATCTAGAGTAGAACATGCATCCACCACCATCCGATTTTAGTATATAAAAAAGACCAAAAGAAAAGATCATGAATTAACAACTGTATTTCAGTGTCTGAAAGTATATACCTTGAAAAAATCTTTATGATTATCTCAATTATGCTGTATTGAAATTCTATCTTATTATGTTTTGATTTAATGTTCTTTGCGTCAAGGACATAGATTTATCAATGAACGTGTGCACCTTAGTTGACATGTACATTATCTGTTGCTTATGGCTGCAGCATCGGAAACTAGGGCCGTGGATCCTGCATATGCTCATGGATACAACACCATGTTTTCAGATGGGTATCCATTCTTGTTGCTTTCTCAGGTCAGTCAAAGCAATTAGTCAAATGCTAACATAATGAGTCCCAGATTCCAGAGATATCCTAAACCATGATCTTGAATAACTTCCATCTTTGCAGGGATCATTGAATGCATTAAATGAGCTTCTTAGGGAGCCCCTATCTGTTAACCGCTTCAGACCCAAGTATGTGAAAAATCTGTCTTGATTCTTTTCATGGAAGTTTCAAGTTTTGAAATGTAATTTTGAAAGCATTGGTATTAATAGCTTGCATAGTTGGACATTCTATTACATCTTTATGTCCAAAGTTAATGCTTTATATCCATACCATCAGATCATGGGTTAATCAACATGGCTTGGAGAGCTGATAAGTTGTTTTTCTGTGAATTTCTCAGCATCCTTGTTGATGGATGTGATCCTTTTTTAGAAGATTTGTGGACTGAAATCAAAATAAACAAGTTGACATTTAATGGTGTCAAGCTATGCTCACGCTGCAAGGTAGAAGGTTATCCTTACCACTTATTTAATATATTCCTTTTTTAATATTACAAGATGACATTTGGTGAGGATCACAAGCTTCTAATATTACAACTGAATAAATAAAATTCTTATTTTCATCAGGTGCCCACAATCAATCAAGAAAATGGCATTGCAGGACCTGAGCCAACTGAAACACTCATGAAGTTCCGGTCAGACAAAGTCTTGCTTCCAGGCCGAAAACATCAGGGAAAGGTAAGACAATCGATTTGAACCATGCAACAATGTATATCTGATTTAAATGCTAATATGTTTTTAGGCTATTAAAGGGTTAAGGTGCTTGCAGGTTTTCTTTGGCCAGAATTTAGTATGCAGGGAATCACTCACTCAAGGGAAGGGAAAGGCTATTAAGGTGGGAGATCCTGTTTATATTACTAAGAAGGTTTCCTCTTCTGCAGATGCGGCAGCTTAAGACCTCATAAACCTTGCAGTTGTTCTCGTCTTTTGGGACTCCATTGACAATAGTTTTGTACTAATACCTCTGTATTTGCTGTAATTGGAAGAAGATATATCTACGTGGAAACACCATGTGCCCACTTGAGTGAAGAATAGCCATTACCTTGGTTAAGCTCATCTATTGGGTTTTGTTTATAATAGAGGGATCTCCTTTAGGAGCTATTATGAGGCCCTGGTGATTTTATGTTATTGAAATGGCATGGGAAGTAGGCTCTCAACTAGGGCTGTCGATTGACTCTGAAATCCTTATGCATATAGATATAGATATTATATACAAATATATAAAAATAATTAATAAAATCAATATTTTATATTTATATAAATTTATTATATATATAATTTAAAAAGTAATTTTTTGAGCTTTTTAATTTTTTATTTTAAAACAATAAAGCGGATTCGGATAAATTCAAATCTGATCTGAATCTAACCCACTTATAGCCCTATTGATATCAAATAGTCTCATCAATAAGATGGATTTAGCCAAATGAATGAAGAGCCCACCTTCCATTATTTGTATAAAGTTCTAGGATTCATACTGGAATCATAAGATCAACTTAACAGTTCAAATCAACGATTGAAGGTCCTTTACTCCTTTAAAGTGCTTCCAATCCCATGAGGCAACCACCACCTTACTTCTTGCTGAAGTTCATGTTATGGATTACAGATTTGTGAATCCGTGTATATAGACATGGCTCTATCTTTCTAACAACAGTTGAAGTTCATGTTATGGAGTTCCAAGCAGTTTTGCAGGGATTACAGATTGCTAAAAGATCTGAATTTTGATAAACTTTTAATCGAAGGGGATTCCATTTTAATAATTGGGTGGCTTAAGGACCCGGATTCTGTAATCTGGTCTTATAGGGAATCAATGAGAAGATTTAAATGGTTGACCACAAATTTGTCTCTAAGAATTCAATCAACCGGTTAATGAGATTGCGGGCTACTTAGCTAAACAAAGGGTGCATGGGTTTTCTGTATTTGAGGCTGCAGCTCGTGGCTCTTCTTGGGAAGCTTCATTGTATACTCTACTTCCTTTGTTGATTAATTAATAAATTTTCTCATTACTTGTCAATATAATGATTTGGGTTGCTCTTCAATCCGTATCTCACCCATTTGAAGTTACCAACCCAACCAATTGCCATCCCAAGAAGATTTAGCATTGACACCAATCCATATAAAGCCAAGGGCAAAATTATATTTCAATTCTTGTTCTCCTCCTTATTATAGCAATATTTATATTTATTTCCCTAATCTAAAGATTCTTAAGCATGGAAGTCTGTAAGTTGCAATGGTACAACTGTGATCCTTGATCACTTGATTTGAAAAGACAACATAGAGACAGTGCCATCAGGTGCGCTTTACCATGTTTTCTCAACTTTAGATATGCCAACATTACTTGCGTCAACTTTAGACATTGGACCTTTTAGAGAAGGAAGGATGACAAGCCCTGCTTTCTGAATATGAACAAGTAGTGGAATTGATGGGTATACAACATTAGGGGTTCACAACAAGTTATTGGAAGTAGATCATGAGGTTCATTTCTCTATGTTCCAAGAAGGAGAGCAAGGCCAACTATTATGGAGTTTGGCATTCAATGACTAACAACAACAACTAACTTCAGATTTATGCTGTTCCTTCTGCATTGATGGTGATCCCATCTCTGCATTTTTCTGGGCCATGTCATAGGTTGCATGGACCCCAAAGAAGAAGTAATAAACAAGCATAACAAAGGTGCAGATGCCAAACCTCTCAAAAGCCTGGGGACCAAGGGAACCCATGAGAAACAGGTTTATTGCAATTGACAAGGATGGCAGCCATGGGACAAGGGGAACACCCCAGACTTTAGGAGTCCGCTGCTGAGGTAAAAATACTGAAATCCCCAATGTCCCCAGAATCCATAAAGGAACAGTGATTGTGTAACCAAGCCAACCATTGGGCCTCAAGCCCCAGTAAGCTGAAGTACCCATCGAGGAAGCAATAATGATCAGCAGAAATATGACCAGCTTCAAGAGGTTTGTTCTAGGAGTGATCCCTCTCACATTGTATCTCCTCACAAGTAGGGCAACTGCCATCATCATGAAAATGAAGAGTGTGCTCACAGATAACAAGCTTGCCAAGACATCCAAACTGGAGAAGAAAGCAATGCAGGCACTGGCAATGGTGATGAGGAGAGTGGCGTTGATGGGTGTCCCTGTTTTGGGGTGAACCAGTGCAAACCAGGGTGGTATCATGTGCGCCCTTGCAATATGAGTAGTATAGCGTGCCTGGCCCAGCGCTCCCACCAATAAAACGGTGGTCATCCCCTTGAGTGCTCCTAGAGCTACCAGATACTTGGCCCATTTCATTCCAACGCTTTGAAATGCCACGGAGTAGGCAGCATTGGGATCTATGTCTGTGTACTTCTGCATCATGTTCAGTGACAGAGCCATCAAGCAATAGATCACTGTTATTATAGACATGGATCCCAGCAGACCCAGTGGGATATCTCTTGATGGGTTCCTTGTTTCTTCAGCCATGGTGGCAATATTGTCAAATCCACCATAGGCGAAGTACACAATTGCAGCTGCTTGGAAAATCCCTTTAGCCCCATATGGCAGGAGGGGCGTCATGTTGGAGGTGTTGGCATGGGAGAAGCCTGCAATTATCACAAACAGTATCACCACAGTGTTTATTGCAGATGCAATCCAATTGAAGTAAGAAGTCTTCCTGGTGCTGATCATGGCAAGCGTTGCAGCAGCTATCAGAACTACCACAGCGATTGGGTCAAGGAGATTGTAGTTCTCTGCAAGATTTGTGTGAATTCTTAATGAGTTGGGGTGACGGTTCAAAAGCGTGGCGAAGTAAGAAGTCCAAGCTCTGGCAACTGCTGCACCACCGACGATGCTCTCCAGAAGTAAGTTCCCTGCTGCTATAAACGCGGCAAAGTCTCCCAATTCCACTCTCATGTAAGCAAATGACCCTCCAGCAACTGGAATTTCCACTGCAAATTCTGTGTAGCAGAAGACAGAGAGCAGTGCTGAAATACCCGAAGCAACGTAGGACAAGACTATGGCGGGGCCTGCATGGTAACGGGCTTCCTGGCCTGTTAGGACGAAGATACCAGCTCCAATCACTGACCCAAACCCAAACCAGATAAGATCCCACCAGTTGAGGCAACGTTTCATCTCATTCTCGCTTTGTTTCCGAAGCTCTCCCAGTTCATTGGCATCATCAGATCGGCTGAGGAGACGGTCCTTGAATCTGAAACACGTTTGTGAGAGTGCCGATCTGTAGCTGTTCCAGCTCTCGAAAGACTGTTCAGGGAAGAAATCCTGTTTGCTCCATCTCCAATAGCTTCTGGGTTGGATGCCATCACCCACTTCGCCCATTGAACCCATGAATGCAGATTTCTTTTTCTCAATAAGAACCAATAATGGGTGTGAATCTTCACTGATTTATTTATAGATGATCAGTGAATCTCAAGGTCTCTTTTCACAAAAAAGAATCTGCAGGGGTCTCTGAAATCCATGGGAAGAAGTGGAGTAGTGGACTACTTCGAAGCTTGACACAGCTTGGGATTCAGCCATTCAGAGAACTTCCAAAGGGGCCGGGTTAGCTCATGGTCATTAATGTCTGTCAGGAACGACAAATTAAGATGATGACTTTTGTGGAAGAAGCCAGATGCCAGAAGGGGTGTCTTTACTTTGCGTTGTGGGCATTTGATTCTCTCTAGTTAATTTTGTTCTTATATTCAGCATTCAAATCAATCTGGATGTGCAGGTTCAAATGCATTATTGGTTGTAGATCATGTTAGTAATAGATAAGTAGTGCTAGAGCATGGGTGAGAGGTATGAATTATTGATCGACTGCGACTGGCTTGACGAAGAAGTTGGTCAGGTCAATGCGTGGCGTAGCGTGTTGGGCACCATCCCCACGTCATATCTTACCAAAACGAAAAAGAAATTGTTTCCATCCTTGAATTGAAACCAGATGAGTGGGAATAGTGGATGCAATGCAACTAACTTATTTATGTGGAGTTCTCTTATTCAAATGAGCGCCCCCCCCA